ATTGCCAGCCACGTGGGTAAGGCACCCATCACCGTAACAGCATGCTGCCATCTGTGGGGTTGATAAACACTAGGGCTATGTGTACACTGCGCATGGTTACGCAAGATGATATGCAAATGAGGCATGGTGATGACTATCGCCGCGCCTCATTTGCATACCTAACGAGCCACCATTTTTGCAGAAGGGGCTTTTGCACAAGAAGGAGCTGTCTGCACTGCTCCTTCTTGCACAAAAAACCCCTCTTGCGCAGGAGCCGTTCTTCCTGAAAATAAGCGGCAGAACGGCTCCTGCACACGAGGGGTTTTTTGCACAAGACGGAGCAGTGTAGACATTTCCTTCTTGCGCAAAAGCCCCTTCTAGCCTATAAAACACAAACCAGAGCAGGGGGCAGTGGGTTCTTCTCTGGGACATGGCAACATCACTTTTCCTTGGCACCTGTTTTGCTTCAGGGTGAGGAGTAATTATTTTACTGCAGCCCTAAAAAGGGCACAACTCCCCTTCCCCCTAGCCAGCTCTGCCAGCTGGCATATTGGTTGGGAAGGCAAGGCCTTGACTCTGTCCATTCTCTGCTCATCCCCACCTCCTTGACATGGAGGGAGGCTGAGCTGTGTAGAGAGGTTGCTCATTGGAGCCACAGATCCAGAGACCCTCCAACACAGCACCGGAGTGCAGGACGGATTTCCCTCCCCAGCTCACTCCCCTATATGACCATATTAGGACTCATGACAAGCTAGCTCTTTTCATACATGCATAATGGGAAGCGACTGTCTAGGAAGGAGTACTGCAGAAAGGGCTATAGGGATCATAGTGGACCACAAGTTAAATATGAGCCAACAGTGTAGCACTGTTGCCAAAAAAAGCAAACATGATTCTGGGATGCATTAACAGGAGTGTTGTGAGCAAGACACGAGAAGTCGTTCTTCCGCTCTACTCTGCACCGATTAGGCCTCAACTGCAGTACTGTGTCCAGTTCTGGGCACCAGATTTCAGGAAAGATGTGGAGAAATTGGAGAGGGTCCAGAGAAGAGCAACAAAAATAATTAAAGGTCTAGAAAACATGACTTACAACAGAAGACTGAAAGAACTGGATTTGTGTAGCCTTCAAAAGAGAAGACTGAGAAGGGACATGATGGCAGCTTTTAAGTACTTAAAACAGTGTTATATGGAAGAGGGAGAAAATTTGTTCTCCTTAACCTCTGATAAGACAAGAAGCAATGGGCTTACACTGAAGCAAGGGAGGTTTAGGTTGGACATTAGGAAAAACTTCCTGTCAGGGTGGTTAAACACTGGAATAAATTGCCTAGGGAGGTTGTGGAATCTCCATCACTGGAGATATTTAAGAGCAGGTTAGACAGATATCTATCAGGGATGGTCTAGAAGATGGTGCTTGGTCCTGCCATGAGGGCAGGGGACCTGACTTGATGACCTCTTGAGGTCCCTTCCGGTTCAAGTATTCTATGAAACACAAGTCCTTGTAAGTTTGGCTGGTCCTGCTTGGAGTTGCACACATCTGGGGAACACATTTCCCTTCTTTCAGCGTAGCCAAACGTTGAGCCTCAACACATGGACTGTGTGTCCCTTTTAGCTGGTCGCCACTGCGTGCATATTTCAAACCAAACCATTTCTAGAGGTTCCTGCCTCATCCTTGTTTGCTGCATGTGTTACATCTGCCTCCTATAGCCGGCTCTATGGAAGTCTAGCATGCTGTGTAGGAAAGACGAGTTCAATTGCCCTTTCTGACCTGCACCATGTGACACACCCAGGGTAACCGTACAGATGGTTATTATCCTGGATCGATTAAAAGGCATTACATCCTTAGCAACACACATTAAAAACAAAAGATGCAGGCGCAGATGACCAAAAACTTTTGGTTTTCAACATGGGTTGCTGAGGATGTAATGCCTTGCAATCGATCCAGGACAATAACCGTTTGTACTAGTACTCTGGGTGTGTCACATAGTGTAAGGCAGAGGCTAGGAACATATCGCTTCCTTCTTTCATTTCTCTAGAGCATTCACCTGGCTCTAGCTCCTTGCTGTGATGCGAAGGCAGCTAGTTCAGTTTCAGCTCCCATTGGCAAATGACAGCTGCATTCGGAAGCAGCGCGCGCGAACAAGAGAGAGCGAATCCGAAGGCCTAAGGCCCTATTCATTAAAACTGTGTTCACCTAGGAAACAGAAAGCTGAAACCGCCACTTGCATTTCCTACCCTCTGGTATTTAGAACAGTGGCAGGCTGCTGCTGGCAGATGGCATTTTCAAGCAGGCCCATATGTTCCTCTCTGGCTTTATTTATTTTTTGTGCTGATCACAGCCACACACACGTGCATCTATTTTTTGCACCGACAAAAATAAAATGGAAGTGTGGAGCCAGATTCTACTCTCATGCATCAGCACCTGGAGTTCAGGTCCAAAAAGACATCCGTGCTGGACAAAGCAGTTCAGCGAATCTGGGAGCGCTGGCATTTTCCAGTAGGATTTGACTCTCGGCTCTCCTGAGCCTTATAAACAGGCCCTAGCAAGGGAGAGAGAAAAGTTGCAGGGCTGTAGTAAAATGCACATCAGCCATGCTCCCAGCATGCCCCGATCAGCTCCCTACACTGGGGACCGTGGACAGGGCCAGCAGTTTTCAATCAGCCAGGGTCTGTTTCTGCAGCCTGTGTCTTCATGCTGGCAGGTGTAAAGGGGCCGTTGCAGGTCAGTGAATCAGGCCCAAGGTCTCACACCAGTTACATATTGGTGTAACTCACTTGGCTTCAGTGGATTACTCCGGATTCACTCCAGTGTAATAAGGAAGCAAGTCTGTATGTGGCACTGGCAACGCCAGGTCCCACGAGACATTGCCAGCCACGTGGGTAAGGCACCCATCACCGTAACAGCATGCTGCCATCTGTGGGGTTGATAAACACTAGGGCTATGTGTACACTGCGCATGGTTACGCAAGATGATATGCAAATGAGGCATGGTGATGACTATCGCCGCGCCTCATTTGCATACCTAACGAGCCACCATTTTTGCAGAAGGGGCTTTTGCACAAGAAGGAGCTGTCTGCACTGCTCCTTCTTGCACAAAAAACCCCTCTTGCGCAGGAGCCGTTCTTCCTGAAAATAAGCGGCAGAACGGCTCCTGCACACGAGGGGTTTTTTGCACAAGACGGAGCAGTGTAGACAGTTCCTTCTTGCGCAAAAGCCCCTTCTGCAAAAATGGCGGCTCATTAGGTATGCAAATGAGGCATGGCGATATTCATTGCCGTGCCTCATTTGCATATCTTCTTGCACAACAATGTGCAGTGCGGACATAGCCCAGGGATGTGAAAGGTTAACTGGTTAACCCATAAGCATAACTCTAAACAGGTGATGCTTACCACTTCTCGTTAACTCGTAACGAGTGGGGGCTGGAGCAGGGAGGCTGCTCTGAGGGAGGCTGGGAGCCAGCAGCCAGCCCCAGTGCGGAGCTGGTGGCGGGGGCCCGCAGACTGGGGGCTGCTCCAGCTAGGCTGGGACGGTCCCGCTTAACCAGTTAAAAATTAGGTCAACCTGATTAACCAGGGTTTTACAACCCTAATAAACACATCAAGGCTCTCAGCCCCATCCCCAAATAGAAATGCACTTAAGAGAAAAAAAATCCATGGGATTGGCTTCCCAGGTCATTCCTTGACATCAAAGGCGACACAGGCTCCCCCTCTGCCATTAGCAACACAGCTAGAAAATGTCCATTTAAGCGCACTGTTTATTTGTGCAAAGCCAATGGAGCCTGGTTGGCGGCAGGAGGGATTGAACCTCCGACCTTATGGCCTAAAGCCATGGTCCTCTACAGCAGGAGCAAAAAGCCAGTCGCCATGCAGCTAAGATGGTAGAGCAGACTTCATTCTCCCTCGTCGCTGTGTCTAGACTGCAGGGTTTTTTCAGGAAAAAAAAAAGTACGCAAATTGTGAACTGCAATTTGTGTACCTTTTTCCGCTTCTTTTGTCGGAAGAGGGTTTCCCGACATTTGGCCTGTCTACACAGGGCCACATGTAAAAAAAACAAACCTTTTTTTCGGCACAACCCTTCTTCTTTGTGAAGTGAGGTTTACAGGGATGCCGAAAAAACAAGTCTGCTCTTCCACAAAAACGAGTTCCTTGGCTGCGGCAGAGTTTTTCCATCCCAGAAAAACTCTGTAGCGTAGACATAGCCCGAGAGTGGTCTCAGCCGCTGGGCTTCATGTGCATCTGTGCATAGGTCTGATCCTGAGCCCAGTGAAACTGATAATCACATTGCCATTGATTTTAATGAGCAGATTCATGCTCTCTCTCTGTTTAGCACCTGTACATTGATTTGTAATTGACTCACGGTGGCGCAGTGGGGGGGCTGTCTGCTCTGTAACCTGGGGTCTCCCTGCGCTGTGATGTGATCCCCCCTGACTCTCCCAAAGGTGGATTAACCCAGACACCAAGGCTCAGCCTCCCGGGGAGAGAGACAAAGGGAGGAAGGCGGAGACCAACACCTGGCTGGGGGGGCAGGGCCCTGGGGGAAGGCAGTTGCTGCCTGCGAAGCATGGAGAGAATAGGCGAAGCAGGGGTTAGGGGTGATGGACCCTAACCCTAGGGGCCTGAGCCATCACGAGTATGCTGGGCTGTATTCTAGGAAATCAATAAACCCCTCTCTATTCTACTGGCTGGTGGAGACATGAAAACATTTATTCACATGCCTGTTTTCTCACTATTGCTAATCTACAGCTGTGTGAGAGCAGAATCCGTCCCACCCAAGACTGAAGAAATGCTAATTTTGCTCTCACTTGATCTGATTCGGTCATTTCTATGTCCCCACCCCCCAGCATCTGAGCCACACAACCCTGCCACGGAGCAGCTGCCCGCCATGCGCCCACTGCCTCAAGCCCTGGGCAGGAACCCTCCTGTTGCCTCAATCCCTGCAGCAGCACCCTACCTATCACGTGGCTGCCAACCCCGGCGGTAGCACCCTGCCCGCACATCGGGGAAACCCCAACTCGCCGTCACACTCACCAATGCAGCATTTGGGCAGAGACAAAGCTAGAGGCGTAGAGCAATCCCCTATTCCTGTCGCATTCCTTGCCACGTGCCCTTGCTTGGAACGAACCCTGATAAATACTAGCACCGCCTAGTCCTCCTAAGGATGCTTTTCATGGCTTCTCATTTACCCTGATCTTTCAGAGGCAGCTTTGTGGGTCGTTTCCCTTGATCCCGAGCAGGAGGTGCACCCGATACCGGCATCCACAAGTGTCATTTGTCTGCCTTCCAAACGCCAAGCATTTCTCAAAACCGGCGCTTCTGCTTTGCTGACCACAGTTAAAGGACCCTTCTGTCTTCTCCCTGATTGGGTTTGACAGTCTGAACTTGGTACCTTCCGGCTGCCTCTGAAGTGCCCCTCATTAGGAGGGGTGACCCTCAGCATAGACCCAGATTAGTCTCGGTCCCATCCAACGCAATAGCCTCTCGCGTTCATTGTCCTCCGAACGGGACATTCCTGGGAGCGGGCCATGGACCTTCCATCGCAGTGTTACTTAGGCCAAGGAAATGCAGACCGTTTCTTTGGCACTTTCTTTTTTTCAAGGCAGGGGCAGCCGCTTGTTTTGGGGCTCTCCCCCCCCTGCGTTCCCCATTTGGGCCTTGTCAGTGTGAGCGCCCCTCCATCAAGCTGATGGAGCTAGAGACGAAGGCTTTGCCAGGGGAACTGCTCTTTGAAACAAGTTTGCCTGGTTTAACGCAGTTTTCAAACTTTGTTCTTGTGACCCAGCTGAAGACAATGGTTGATGCCGCGACCCAACATAATTTGACTAGAGGGCGGGCTCCGGGGTGGGTCTGAGAGGAGCTTTGGGGTGCTCAAGGGGGCTCCGGCTTTGGGGCAGGGGTCAGGACTGGGGCAGGAGGGGCTTACCTCGAGCGGCTCCCAGTGAGCAGTGCAGTGCAGGGGTGCTAAGCAGCTTCTTGCCACTCCTGGCACTTTGCTGCCCCCAGAAGCAGCCAGCAGCAGGTCCCCAGCCAATGGGAGTGCGGAGCTAGTGCTCCAGGCAGGGGCAGCGTGTGGAGCCGTGGGCTCTCTTCTAACCCAGTCCTCATCTAGGAGCCAGGCTGCCGCCAGCCGCTTTTGGGGCGCAGCACAGTCTGCGCTGCCAGGACAGGCAGGGAGCTGCCTTAGTGCCCCCACTGCTCACCTGACCCCCCCTGCTGCAGTGAGACCCAGCGCCCGACATTCCACCACCCGGTGTTGGGTCACAACCCGGAGCTTGAAAACCACCGGGCTCTCGCCCATCAGAAAGACGTTCAAGCTAGGACACAGCGACACCAGCGGTTCCAGTTCCACAGACAACCGGGGCACCTTGGAGGGGGGTTACTGTTCTCCCCATCTTACAGATGCAGGACAGTCACAACCAGCGGGCTTTGGCGGAGCTGGCATAGAGGATCCACAGCCACCGTTAGAAGAGAAACCAGAGGGGCTGGCCGCCAACCCCTGCCCATGGGGCTTGCAGTTCCCTTATCTCTGAGCTCCGTCGCACGACCTGAGCACCAGCTTGTCCGTGCCCAGAGCTATCCCCTGCCGTTGCTGAGCACCGTCGCTCCGAGTGGAAAAGACACGGGATGGAATAGCAGGCAGCAATCGGCAAGGGCTGCGTCTGCCTTGATTTCACTGGAGGCAGGACACCCAAGAAAGCTAACAAGGAAAGGGCCAATGGACCAGCAGCATGTTTGTAACCCGTGGCTCGTTTCCAATATCTCTAGGGATTAGTAGGCTCCAGAGATGATCCTTATCAACAACAAAGGACATGGCGCCTCGGGGCACCTCTGAGCTCATTAACGCCGCGCTCAGCGCCTGCCATCCAATTATCAGGTTTTCACTGTCCAGGCATTAACACAGAAAACGCACCAGGATCTTTTAACCCCTTCATTAGCACGTCACAGGCCGGGGTCGGAGCAGGCGTGCACTGAGCCCGGCCCCGCACTGTGCTTCGGAGCAGCTGCCTCTGCCCTGATCACAGCTCCGTCCTGCCCTCTCCCCCTGGTTAGTGAGCCTCGGGGGTCAGGCCTGGGAGCCAGAGCAGGGCCAATGGTGCGACACGAGCCATGTCACTGAGCCATGGGGAGTCGCCGGGCCCTGCACCCCCATCCACAGCCAGACATGGCTCTCAGGCAGCCGGTAGAAGTCGAGGTTTATTGGTTCTTAGGGTACAGCGTAGAAGAGACTTGTCAGCACAGGGACCAGAAGCAGCCAGGGCAATCCATCTTGGGGAGGGGAGGCTCAGAGCCAGGGCCCTGGGCCAGCCATGTCACTGAGCCATGGGGAGTCGCCGGGCCCTGCACCCCCATCCACAGCCAGACATGGCTCTCAGGCAGCCGGTAGAAGTCGAGGTTTATTGGTTCTTAGGGTACAGCGTAGAAGAGACTTGTCAGCACAGGGACCAGAAGCAGCCAGGGCAATCCATCTTGGGGAGGGGAGGCTCAGAGCCAGGGCCCTGGGCCCCCTCTCTACACCCCAAACCACTGGAGACTGACTCCCACACCTAGCAGCCCGGGCCCACGCCCCTCCTTGGCCCTTTGTTCTCCTTCCCGGGCAAACGGGGTCACCTGGCCACATCCCCCTCCTGGGCTGCGGTTAGAAGGGCATCAGCCATTGTATATCTGCTGTGGCCAGGGGTCGCCTCCCTCAGCGTGAGTCACACCCGAAATCCCCATCACCGTCCAGGTATTAGTGCAGTGTCCTGGGAAACTGAGGCACACACAGAGGGTTATTCTAGGACAGGGGTCTCCAACCTTTTTAAGCACAAGATCACTTTCTGAATTTAAGTCAGTCCAGGATCGACCTCAGACCCAAATACCTCTGCCCCTGCTCCACCCCTTCGCTGAGGCCCCGCCTTCCTCACTCTGGGAAGATGGGGGACAGAGGGGGACAGAGTGACATCAGCACCCCCCTGCCTCTGTCTCCCCCACCCTGCACAACAAGCAGGAGGCTCCCAGGGGTGGCTCTGGGCAGGAGCAGCAGGGTAGTGGGGGTGGGGCAGATGAATTGCTCGTCCTTGAGAGCCTCCCAGCCAAACCTGTCCCAGGCTCCAAGATCTACCAGTGGTCCCTGACCTACTAATTGGTGGCCACTTCGCTAGGCCGATAGAACTCACATGCAACATAAAGCGAATGCAATCCCCACTGCAATCCGCAGGCCGGCCGGAGGATTTACAGGGCCCTACACAGCACTATTAAACTGGCACCCCAGGGCCTGACGCCAGCCCGGCGCAGGTGATAATATTTTAGAGATGCGTTTTTTTCACTTGTACGTTAATTAGATCCTTTCCGGCAGAAGCAGAACCACCGAACGGGGATAGGAAGAGGCAGGGGGGTGGGCATTATGGCTCTGTCTACTCGGGGAAGGGGATGCTGCTTCGCTAAGGCTGGTGTTTATGCTTTAACTACTTATTTCCTTGTGTCAACAACAGTAAAATGGTGCAACAACACTAACACTTGGTTTTGAAGAGAGCGAATGAGTCTTGGCTAGGCGTAGGCTACAGAGAGCGGATCAGTCCAGGCATACGGTATTAAGCAGAATTGCAAGTGTTATTCCATTTATTCGCCTTAGTGAAATAAAAATAAGAGAGGGCCCACTCACTACAATATCGACCTCCCGTGGTTTGGCAAATTCTCTCGTTCGGCACCAGTCAGGTCCTGAGGGTGCCAGACTAGAGAGGTCCAATGGTCCACATGAACGTAAGGACCCAATCTTCAGCCTTTACTCACCCAAGACCTTGGCTTTGTGAGAGTACCCATAGCACAGATCCTGCTGTAGGATTCATTTGGGTAGCAACTTGTGTACTAGCGGGTCCCTGTTGAAGACACTAAGGCGCTGTACAAGTGCAAGGTGCTGGACTCCAGACTTGGGGCCCATGTGAGTCAGGATTACTCACACCAGGAAGGGAGCTAACCCAGACCTGCTCTGTTGGAAAGTGTTTCCTTAAACTACTAAGACAAATCAGTTTTCCCCGGTCACTATGAAGAGTGAGACTGCAGGAAGAGGGACAGCCCTCAGGAGGGGCTTAGTTAGTTGCAACATGAGGGGCCCCAGATTATACGCTGGCGGCCCAGCACGACGTGACAATGTATAGAGCTGTGCTTTGTGCATGTTCAATGCAAGTCTCTGCTGCAACTCCACCTGCCTGCTGCATCCCTGACCCGCTAGCAAAGCCGCCACCAGTTTCTGATTCGCTCATTCTTAGAAACATAACGTGAGAATACTCCCCTCCAACATATTCGGACACTGAAGTTGGCAGATGCCGTCAGAAAGAACCTCTGTCTAAAAGCACAGGGCTGCTGCTACAGAACGTCAGGACTTGTTAGTGGTTTCCAGGAGTGCCAACGAGTGCTCGGTGCTGTACAAAAGCAAAGAAGCTACGTCCCTCACCCTTAAATCACTTTGCTTGACTTCTTCATAAGACAAGTGTTGTGTGACAGAGGTTTTAACTCCATATAATTCGATCTATAGTTTAGAGAGTGTCAGAGTCCTTTTCTTCAAGAACTCCTCCTCAATAGTAAGAGCTGGGGCCACCAAATTTGGTAGGCAGCTTCCTCTTCTCCTAACAAAGCAAGGCCAGGGTTTGGTTGTGCCAGAACAATCGGAAACCCTGGGAAAAGGACAGTTTTCCATATCATGTAAAGGGAGGGGCTGCTGTTTGGAGGGATGCAATATTAGAGTGGCCACTGGGGGCAGCGAACCTGCAGAGCAACCATGGGGGCAGCTGCACCCCAAGAGAGCGGCTAGCAAGGCTGGGACTCCACCATCTTGCCTGCTAGCACACCAGTAAGTAGCCTCCCAAGTGGGCTGGAGGAGATGGCCGGAGGAGGGGAGAACAGGTCCCAGGTGTGCGCAGGGGGTGGGGGCTGGGGGAGAGAGAACAGATCCCAGGTGGGTGCAGGGGTTGAGGGTGGGAGAGAACATGCCTCTGCCCCCAGCCTCCTGCACACCCCTGCCCACATCCCAAGGCCCTGCCATTTAGGACCCGAGCAACGCAGGGTAAGTCTACTGGTATTATATATATTTAAAAAGCAGGATCACGTCATGGTATTTTTCTCTTTTTTTTTATTTTACAGTTCACAATTAGAAACCTATCGATAATTTAAACAGTTCACCCTCCTGCTTGGGGGTTTCAAAACAACCCCTCCTCTTCACAGCAGTGTTGCTAATGCCACATCATTCCAGAAAGAAGGTTCAAAGTGCAATCCATCTAGGCAAGTGTATATGAAAGGCAGAGCTGCAGAACTCGTTATCTGTTTTCAAACCCCTTCAAGGTTTTCAGTGTTTTAGGAAATCAACCAAAGTTTAGAAAGTTAATTGGCAGCATGAAAAATTCCCTAAAAAAATTGGAACGGAAAATACACTGAACAGTTGGGAGCAAAATAATTGGAAAGAGAATACATTATTTTAATCAGTCTGAGAAGGATATAAATGTAGAAAAACACTTGAATGGGATGTTTCTAACCAGGAGGTCACCAGTTCATGGTTTAAGCAACACTAGCGAACTGGAATGATCCTTTTCATAGGCAGGTACCTTAGTCAAAGTGGAATTTTCAACTCAGGCCCTGATCCAGCAAAACACTTAAGCATGTGCTTAACGTTAAGCAAGTGAACGTTCCCATAGACTTCAATGTTAGGCATTTGGTTAAGTGTTTTACTGAACTGGAGCTTAAGAATTTCCCCCACTGGCAGGTTTCCAATTTCTAAACACTGATTTGGTACAGACTCCAAATATCATCACTATTTCCAATATTTTCTTTTTAAAGTATCACACAAACATGGCACTGTGTATCTGTCAAAATGATGGGCTTCTATTCCCAAAGCATATAAATACCAGGGAAAACACCAGAGCTTTAAAATTAAATCAAGTTGCATATCACCGTGGTGCTGTACAAAATCGGGGAGGGTAGCGTACGAAAGCATCTCAATGCACTAATGCATTCACATTTTGTCCCTTCTTACTCAAGCGCCACAAATCCAAGTACAAGAGCTCCAGGATATAGAAAAGTATGTGCCAAGTGTCTTGAGCTCTGTTGGGCTGTTAGGAACAGTGTCTGTTCCTCAAGGTTGCACCCGTGTCCCTTGCATCATATGATCTTTCTAACTCCACACCCAAGGTAAAATTCACTCCTGGGCAGAGATCTTACACAAAGGCCAATACGTCAGTTAAATGGAACATAAGTGGTGCACTTGCCTGGTTCAACTCCTCTGCACAGTGGTGAATTTCACCCACAATGAATTAAAAAGCCAACTCTAGAAACAGCTGAGGAAGGGATGAGAAACCAGGAATGGATAAAAAAAAATCATGAGCACACTTTTAAACAGAAAATAAAAGTTACATAGGTTTTCATTTATGCCAGCATTATTAATGTATGCATTATTTACTCTGTGTGTCCATTGTTGCCAACCTTTGGCACATGCAATTCTGTGCATTGCAAGATGTAATGAATAATACCTAATAATAATACTTTGCACTTACATAGCGTTTTCCATATTCAGAGTGCTTCTCAAAACAGTCATTGAATCCTCACAACACCCCTGTGAGGTAGGTCAGTATTATTATCCCCATTTTACAGATGGAAAACTGAGGCAGAGAGGTTAAGAGACTTGCCCAAGACAAAACTGGAATTCAGGAGCTACCTGCCCTGATTCTGGTCCCTCTTACACAGATCTAAATGAGGAATACCCATACACGGTGTAAAACTAGCGTAAGTGACAAGATTAGCATCAATTACCCTGGCTCTCAGTCCTGTGCTCAGGTCACTTGACCACATCTGCTCCTCCTAATACAACAGTTTCGCCACCAGAAATGCTACAGGAAATTCAGAGCACAGCACAAGTGACATCAGCATTTTAAGGCAACATATATTAATAATGCAACAACCGCGTATCAGTTTGGAGTACACACCCATGTCTCTTTTATACCATTCTAATAAGTCTAAACATGGTCGCTACACTAGTCTCACAAGTTTATGTGTAACCAGCTATGGGCCTGATTCTCCTCAGTCTTAAAACTGGTATAAATCAGGAGTCACTCAGAGGAATGAGACCAGAAGAAAACTGGTTCTGAGAGCTGAATCAGGTTTTAAACCTGCAGTTCAGAAGTCATGCATTCTGGACAATTTCCCTCCTCCCCCCCTCTCTCTTGTCCCAAGAATCTGATCATAGACCATTTCACAGTTTCAACATTTCCGACTCACTAGCTGTCAGCAATCAGCACTTAAACAGCATTTCTAAGACCGTGTCATTATTTCCAAAAAGTGCAATGCATGCAAATATCAAACATACAAAAACATCAAGAATGTTCTGAGATACAAAGAATATAGATGATCACAAGACGACGGTACACAATTTTATTTTACTTTTATTAAAAAGACCAAACAACTCACTCATACTTTAACTATGCCACTTACATGTTAGAAGAAAGTCATTCCCTAACCTGTGGAAATTCAAGTGCCTATCCCTCCATCTAGCTACCTACCTAGAAAGAAAGAGAAACAGCAATCACACAGAGATACTTCTTCAGATCTGTCAGGCACAAGTCATGTAAACGGGAAAGGAGTATTCTTTACACTGCTTCTGGCATGGTGAGATACAAAGGGGTGAGGAAGGTCACATGCACCATTACTGACAGGCAAAATTAGCTTTGAATAGATGCGAAAGAAACAGAAATTAGATTGCCTGATATACAATATTACACTAAAAATCTGAAGCATTTAAGTATGTTGAAAAAGGTGGACAATGGATATCTTGTCTATTGTTTTGATTTTAGAAGAGAGGACTAGTATTAAGGCAAACCCTTTGTTTGAAGTACAAAGGCAATCTCCTTCCATTGCATTAGTATGTGTCAGCTGAACAGAGAGGAGGTGGGAATCATCTCCGCCATATGAAGTAGCTGGGATGCCTCTGACAATAATACTTAACAGACAGAGAAGAAAGTGACAGGTCATGTGCCGTTTAATTCATGGCAACAATTCAAAGAATGTGCCTCAGCAGAGAAGAGAGAAGCCAGAAAACAAGTGATGCTTTGAAGTTGGCAAATATCTCATGACGCTTCAGCTGTGTCTGGCTGGAGCACCAGCAAACAAGACCCAAACACGACTAAAAACCTAACCAATAACATACTGTATTCCACTGATTTGCTTCCCTGCCGTGTTTTCAAATTACATTTACTGTAATAGTGGGGCAGGGAGAGAAACCCAAGACCAATAATTTTTTACTGGATCAGCATCAGCTCGGGGGGAGGGGAGGAGTGAGAACGAAAATTAATTCTTCAAATGTGATCCTTGGAATCCAATTAAAATGTTGTCAACCAGCAGATGAAACCCTAAACTGCTGGAAGGCGTGAAGGGGGATTGATGCATGGTGCTGCTTGCAGTCCTCCTCCTTTGCTATGAAATCTGCTCTGTAGGCCTCATCTGAATATCTGCAATCTGGAAAAGACCAATACATGATTTTATTGCTGTGCACTTGAAGAGGTGCACAGTGTGCAGAATGTAAACATGCCAGACATGTCTGGCACATAATAATGGCAAACTCCAGATGAACATGACAAAGTAGAAATCCCTTCAGAATTATTTAGCCCCTTAGGGCTGCCAGAGGGTTTCAACAAAAGTACCGACCACACTTGACATTACAGCACAATCTACATTACATCTTCTTTAGGAAATTCTGGACATTTCTATTTTCTCAATTTGTTTCCCGAACAGAAAGCTCAAATACTGGATTGTCTGGTTCAAACCGGACACCTGGCAACCCTACTCCCAGTCATTAGCTTTTGTTTGCTTTTACAGGTTGAACCTTTCTAGTCCGGCACTCTCTGGTCTGGCAACATCAGTGGTCTGGCATGATTTGAGTGAGCTGGATGTTCACTTATCATGGGTGGGGCCAAGTTTGATGATCTTGTAAAGTTTGTTTACAGCCACCAGTCCTGGCTCTCAGTGTTCTGTGCTGTTCTTTAGCTCTAATTTACCCCTAAATGTCTTCTAAGAGACCAGTAAGCAGTGGAAGTGCTGGTAATGCCGCTAGACAATATTAACATCCCGTGGTCCGGCAAATTCTCTGCTTCGGCACCAGTCAGGTCCTGAGGGTGCTGAACTAGAGAGGTTCAATCTGTATGAAGCCTTTTCTTTTAAACTAAGATTTTTTTCTTCTAACAAAATTACAATCTTAGTGCACAGAAGGCAATGTGAGGTGATATTGCTTATAAACCCGCATGCTTCTGGTCATAAATCAATTTCTACCTAATGAGAGTCAGGAAGGAACATTGTTCATGGCCATGTTATTCCATAACTACCTATTGCAGATGTTCTTTCAACTTGCTCTGAAGCAGCAAATAATGGCCACTGTCAGAGACAGGACTCTAAACTAAATGGACCACTGGACTAATTCAGAAAGGCCACTCTTAGGTCTCATGCAAGGCTTTGCAGGATCCCATACAAAGAGCTCGCTCATCATTTTTCATGGCCAAAGTCATTTGACGTGTTTTTTTGCTTTCATGATATGGGCCTGGTATTTCTTCCACTCGGCCTTCTCCCAAATAATTTTTTCAACATCTCTAAAAACATGGATTGTCAGGGGTTTGTCACTTCCCACTAGCAGAGAAACAAAATAGTTTGTGTATTTATTATGTAATGGGTGAAAAATAGGCCTGACAGCACAAAAGATCTGAAAACCCTTCTGGGCCCCTCAATCAAAGACACAATGGGAGTGCAAAATAGATATCAGGGAGCTCTCCTAACGGGCACTGCACCCCGTAGTAATCTGGCTATATTGCTGAGAAATGAGTGTGTAACAGAGGGAGACACAAAGAGTATTTTAACGTGTGAGCCGCAAATTCATTGTGGTTTTAAAAGCAACTGAAAGCACCCAAGAGAACATACCAAGTAAAAACCACCTCAAATGCAAATTTAATAGAGGCATAAAAGTAAGGCAGAGAGGAGCGAAAGATCAGCTCTTCAGTGTCTAGGAAGTAGTGGATTTAGTTGTGCTTGGGCACTGGGAATTTGATACTCTCTCTCAATGTGGCAGCTTGCAGGTGTCCCCACTGGTACTAGAACCCTTGATCGTTAGCACTAAAAGCTCAGGCTTGTGGGACCAAAGGAGCTTCAGTGGCCTCAGCAGCAATAGTCTCTTATCCTCTGTGCGGACAAGCTACAGGAGAGGAGAGGCTGCACTGAGCATCCTGCTAACAGCCCTAATGGTTTCATTCGGTGAGGTACTCAGTACCCGAGCTGAGGCAGAGGAAGGATGGTTCTGTGGTCAGACTGCCAGCCTGTAGGCTAATTCCTGCGCTGCCACAAACATCCTGTGTGAATTTGGGTTTTAAATTGGTGACTGGTAGCATCTGATCTAGCCCCCCCAAAGGTCAGCAGGACCAGCGGCGGATTTAGGGCAGGGTGAGCGGGTCGGCTGCCCCAGGCCCCGCGCTTCCCGAGGCCACCGTGTCAAAGGAGGGCCCCCGTGAAATTTCGCTGCACGGGGCCCCGCGGCACTCTCATCCGCCCCTGAGCAAGACATTAGGGGTACGTCTAGACCACAGGCTTTTGTCGACAAAAGTTTTGCTGACAGATACTGTCGGCAAAGCTTCAGTCAACGAAGAGTGTCTAGACTACATCCGGTTCTGTCGACAAAGCAAGCCGCTTTGTCGACACGAGTGTGCGGACGCAAAGGACAGTGTAGATGCAATAACGCCTTCTGTCGACAGAACTCTGTAGCCAAAAGGCGTTATTCCTCCTAGAATGAGGTTTACCGCCGTCGACAAAACTGCCGAGCTGTCGATGGTATGTCGACAGAACTCAGCGGCAGTGCAGACACAGGTATAGTTGCATCGACAAAAGTCCACTGTGGTCGGCAAAACCCTGTAGTCTAGACACACGCTTGGAGACGCAGCTCAAAGAGGCAAGTGGTGCCCAGGTTGCTTCCATTTTACCTTGGTTCTGGAAAGAGTCCAAGTTCACTTTTCTCGGCGGCAGGAGACCTTTATATCCTGTAAACACACAGGCTTTTGCTGTTGGCTCCTTGCTGTTTCAGGGTTGCCCTAAGGGACATGTAAGCTAAACTGATCAATGCTAATCCCTAGGCCATGCTCTGCTCAGCACCCAGCTGATATGGAAACTGCAACACTAATTAACAGATATCAGGGCTGTTACAACACGCGATTATTTTACAGGAGCTGCCACTTACCTGTACATGCGGTGGAGCACTTAGGACATATATTACAGCATTGGCCATATCTTCAGCTTTTAAACACTGGAAAGACAGAACCAGTATTAACCGAGACAAAGGATTACTAGTACAATGGCTCAGTTTCTAACAACCAGCAATCAGTGACAACAAAATCGCTTACTGCACTTCAAAAAGAAAAATAGACGGGGCGGGGGGAGGCGTTAAAATGTAACATGGGAAGTCGGTTGTTTTAATTGTTGCATTGGCTGCGATGGTTCCTGCTGTTACCAGCACGCTTTGATGAACCAGCGGAGAGGAGGCCCCAGTAGGCTACCTGCTGTCCAATCCTAGGGAGACAGGCCCGGTCCTGGAGAGCTGACAGTCTAAACAGATGAGGCAGGCAAGGCTCAGAAGGGAAACAGAAGCAGAGAAAGGGGAAGTCAAAGTCACAGAGCAGGGCACTAGAAGAGCAGAGACTAGACCAGGGGTAGGCAATAATTATTGATGGGGGCACTCCAAGATTTTGGTAAGTGATCAAGGGCTGCATTTTTCTATGAGAGCTCAGGGAGGTGCAGGGTTTGAGACAGAGGTTGGGTGCAGAAGGGAGCTCGGGGCAAGGGACTGGGGTGCAGGAGGGGATGAGGGTCTGGCAGGGAGTTTGGATGAAGGAGGAGGTTGTGACCTGGGACAGGGCTGAGGGGTACAGGGTGCAGGAGAAGATTCTGACCTGGGGAAGGGGTGTAGTTGGCAGTGCAGGGTCTGGGGGGGGAGGGTTGTGAGCTGGGGGAGAGAGGTTGCAGAGGGTTTGGATAGGTGACCTGAGGTATTGGGTGATAGGTGGCTCCCAGCCAGCAGCCCAGCCAAACTCTCAGGCAGGACTGGGGTATGTGCCTCTCTGTGCTGCATGCCCCTTGCATGGGAGAGAAGAGACTTCACATGCTGCCCCCTCCCCCAGAAAAACCCCATTGCCCAGTTTCTGGGGGGCACGAGCAGCACATGGAGCAGCCAGGGAGCCTGCCTGAGGGTCCCAGTGGGGCAGATCCAAAGGCTTGGCAGCCTGCGGGCCATCTCTTGCTCCCCCCGGACTAGAACCTAGGTCTCCTGATTGCTGCTACTGTGCCCTATCCACTAGACCACACTGCCACTCCCAGAACGCAGACTTCAACGTTCTGGACGTCGGCTGCTCTCCCCATGAGACACGGGCTAGAAATACTTCCAGCAGATTTTTCAGCCAGTGACACAAATGTCATTTAACGCCAGCAAAGATGCTTTTTGCTGGAGCAACAGATTTTTCCGAGCTGGGTTGTTGGCTAAAGAAAGCCATGCCCTCTTCCCTGCCTGTCGTAGGCAGCAGCAGGCCGCTCAGTAGCGGAGTGAAACATGCCCTGTGGACATCGTTCACTTGGGCTGTGGGTAAACGAGAAAGGTGCCGTGAGTTACCTGGTGTCCCTAGCCAGGCTCTGCTGTGCAGATCGAGTTTTCCAGCTGCTCAGGCAGACCGGTTCTCTGCGGATTCCCTCTGGCAGGCTCAGGGTGGGCGTTAAGCTTGTATCAATGGGGTTTGATTTTATCTAGACGCTGGCTTACAACCTTAAAAGGATGATCAGAATACAACTCCCAGGGTCGCCCTTGTGTTAAAGGTGAAGGGACAGATCCCAGGGTGGATACAAAAGCACTCCAAGGGCAGCAGCAGAGACTGCATGTGTGAAAATCACCCCAGCAGGACTCCCTCCTCGCTTCTCCCCTTGGAAAGGTTTTGGGACACGGCCTGTGACAACGTGCACAGCACACATCCACTGGGCCAAAATCCTGTAGAAGGTGGCAGGGAGAAGGATACGCTTACCCATGGCCTGGATTAGAGCTCATGGCCTTGGGAGCAGCCCAATCAGCTGGGTAGAAGATTCCATCCCTCATCCCCTTGGGTGGTAGGTGCACTAGGCAAGGGAAGGCATTGCCTTTCCAAACTGTCAGTCTATCCCCACCCATGCCCTACCGTAGGCATTCTGGGGGCGGAGTATTGCTGCCCCCAATGCCCGCCCTCCCTGTGCTCTTGAGCTGGGCCATGCACTGTCCGGCCTCCCAGTGCTCCGAGGCCGGGGAGGCTGAGGCACATGTGCCAGCCCTCCCTCCTCCCCTACCTGTCGTGGGGGGCAGGGTCTCATCCGAAGAGGTGAGGGTGGGGTGGAGCTGGGGGCTTGCCTCCCCCGGCCCTACCTCCGATGACTGCCCATGCTCATACTCAGAGAGCTAAACTTGCTGCTCTTTACCTAGGATGGAGAACTACACTGTGCTTGGGCGGGGTGAGATGATGCAGTTAGGAAAGACATGGAATAGCAACCTCTCAGCAGAAAGCAAGGGATTTTAAGAGGAATGGGATAATACTCTGGACAAATGGGACAATAATTAGGACCACTGAAATTTCCAGACTGGATCAGTCCGGTGACCCAGCCGGTCCAGTATCTCCCCTTCAACAATGAGTACCAGGTGGTTCAGAGGAAGGTACAAGAAACCCTGTATGTCGATTAAAGGATAACCTGCTCCTTTGCAAAGTTCCTTCCTTACCCCATTAGTTTCAGACTGGCTTGTGTCCTGAAGCATGAGGATTTATATTCATTAAATTAATCAGAGTTAAGATGAGCTCTGAAGATGAGATATTGTGTGTGTGTGTGTGTGTGCGTGCGCGTGCCTGTCTGTCTTTCTGTCCACCATCTCTACAAGAAACTGGTTAGTTTCTGCATTTCCATAATTGCAAAGTCCAGCTTTCCAAAAGCGTACTCGTTAATGTAGCAGTACCCGTACCGGGGTTCATATTCTCTCCATTAAGACACAAATCACTTAAACCTGCAAAATGTCAAAAATGGGCTGATCTTTATACTTGGATGTTCTCATAAATAAGAAAATAAAAAAGACTGAAACATGATAAAATCTGCATGCGTAGGTGGAGCTCGGTGCAAAATCTGTGATTCAATCCAAAGAGTCTAATCCGGCTGACATGCTGAACGTTTCCTACTGGGTCCTAAGTCCCTTCACTTCCCATTGACTTTGATGACAGTTGAGGATGCTGAGTGTTTTTCAGGAAGCACTCACTGCCAAGCAAATGGAGGGCCCTAAAAGATGATTAGCTAGAGAGAGATCATTAGCTATGCAATCAGTTGTAATTTTCTTCTTTATTCATTTCTCAGTTCCCTACCCTAATGCTCTCGTAGGTTGCAGCAGCTCTTTCTGGATCATTATCGTGAAGTTTAAAAGCAAATCCAGTTTCCACCAGTCCTGGAGATATACACTGGAAAAGAACAGATGGGATTTGTAACTCTCCTTTCATTTAAAAAAAAATACAAATATTTTAAGAGAACAGATATTGACTTAATGATCACTGTACAGTAGTACCGTGGGGACTTCTGATAGATAGCCCTTATACCACAAAGAGAAGGTTCTGCACAGCATGTGACAGAATAACTTGCAATATGGTGTAATTGCAGAATAACTTACTTCTGAGCGCCAAGCTTGCTACACAGTTCAAGCAAAGCTACTGTCTAATGGGTATTATCAATTTTTAATGTATTTCCACTACTTCCTCAGTAAGGAACTGTACATTTTGTGCCGTTCAAAAACAATAATCTATGCCTCCTGTCTCAGTTTCGTTCCCCACCCCTTTCCCAGAAGAGAAACTGAGGCTCAGGAGGGCTAAGTGACTCACCTAAGGTCATTCAGTAAGTCAGTGACAAAGTCAGCAGCAGAACCCAGGGTTCATGATTCCCAGTGAGGTACCCTGTCCACTCACATTTCTATGCTCATGTCTGTATGAGGATCTCAAAGCACTTTACAAACATAAATTAAGCCTCCTCAGACCCTGCAAGCATACTTAATTTAGGCTGCCTGAACTTTTGGGTGTTCAACTGGGGCTAAGTCTTCCCTGGCTTTTTACAGTGCTGTAACTTTCCGGCTCAGGTGTGTGAAAAACTACCCACAACATGGCCACACTTTCATTTTAAAGCACTGCAGCAGGTGCGCTTTAAACTTTTAAAAGCGGACAAAACTCAAGACAAACTGGGTACTGATTTTCAGTGTGGGGTACACTGAAAACTGTGTTTGAAACTGTAAGCTGTCACTTTAAATTTCCAGGGATTTTTTTTCCTGGTCTTGCTTGCAGATTTGGGGGGTTGGTAGAGGAGCCAGTAATGAGAGTTTGGCAGCAGTCAGTCAGCAAACAGACAACCTAGAGCAAGGTGGGGTGAGTTGTGCCACTCTGTTTTAGGGAACAGTCTACATTCTCTCTCTGATTATTTGGGGCTCTTAACATGTTTTCATTCTGAATTCTGAGGCCAGGTCTACACTAGACCCAGCAGTTCAGCTTATGGCACCCAGCTCCAGCTACGCAGACTACCTAGCTGGCATCCATTTACTATAAGCCGAGCTTGGTGGTATCCCCATAGCAGGAGGCCAATGGGAGCAAACACTCCCATCGGCTTCCCTAACTCCTCACAAGAGCAGGAATACCGGACACCAGCAGAGGTGCCCTCTGAATTCGATTTAGCAGGTCTTAACTAGACTTGCTAAATCAAACTCCAGAAGATCGATCACGGCAGCATCAATCTTCCGCGGGGTGAAGACAAGGCCTAAGAAATAAAGCAGTGTTAGGTGGCAACCTTGTGATAAGTTTTTATCTAATTTTTCCTCTCTGTGTACCATGAAATAAAAGGGGCAGCTGCCTTGGGGCCCAGTGATCCTGCTCGCCATTGCCACTACTGTGGCTGGAGCCTTTGGCTTTTTAAATTGCCGACTAAGCTCCACCGTGGCAGCACCCTGCATACAGCTCTGAGCTATGTTCCAGGTAATGAGGAGGGCTGGCTGCC